AGAATCCATATTAATTAATATAGATATTCAACCCATTAATTTATGGGCGGATTAATGGGTAATGAGTTAAAATTGTCACCTCTAGTTTCTGTCATATTAATTTATTGTGTGTGAATAAATTGTGTGTATCTCTTAATTACTGACTGTATTTCCCTCATAGTGTAACAAAAATAGTGTAACAATACATTATAACAAAGACAGTTTAACAATACACTGTAAAAATGACAGTATTCAGTGGTTTTGTAGATCTGGTAACAAATTCAAAACATACATGGACTGTTTGAATGAAATTATATGTAAATATATGTTTGACAAAATTTAGTAGTACAATATTTTATGTAAGTGTCTTGTTATATTATTATTGTTAAACTGTTATGGTGTTCGCATACTAAAAAATAGAATAATCACCTTTAAAATAATAAATGTTATTGTTGCAAAATTTAAAATTCAAACCAATTAATTTATCCTCACAATAAACGAAAGAATCAAATAATCAAATCTTCTATTATATTACAAGATTTTTAATGCATACATTTATCCTCAAAAAAAATGGAAGGATCAAAACTTCCATTAAATTAGAAAATTTTTAATGCATACAAAAGAATCAAATCTTCTATTAAATTAGAAAATTTTTAATGCATACATTTATCCACACAAAAAATGGAAGGATCAAATCTTCTATTAAATTATGAGATTTTTAATGCATATATATAATCTGGAAAAAAAAAACAGTTTCCAAAAATAAATCGCATGAATTAAGGGAGCACAAATGTCAAAGAAAAATCTAAAATTTTTTAATTATGTACTTGGACACAAATAAAAACTAAAATTAAGGACTTTTTTCTACTACATTTTTTTCTCTGCATTTTTTTACAATTAACTCCACAAAGACAGGGTTTCAAAATTTGAAATTCAAACAAAATGATATATCCTAAAACTAGAAGATGTTAAATGCATAAATAAAAAGAATATTAAAGTAATTTAAAAAAACTAGGAGATATTTAATGCATCAATATAATTTGAAAACAAAACCACTTTTAAAAAAAAAAAACATGGATCAAGAGAGGACATAAATGTCACAAGAAAAATCTAGAAATTTCAAATAATGTACATGAACACAAATAAGTATTAAAATTAAGGACTTATTTACTCTATCTTTTTTTTAGTGTACTTTTTTAGAATTAACTTTAATTTGGTGTACCCTTTTTNGTTATAATTTAAAAGTGTATCAATATAGTGTGACATTAAAGGGTTTAATGAAATTAAATGTCTAATTTTTGTACATCCATAATCATAATATCAAATGCATGTGAATNTATAGATAGATTGAATCATGAGCCCAAATTATTGCAATAAAAATTTTGATTGAACTTAATTTTTTAGGGCTTAAATTTTTTTGGATTTGGGCAAGTAATGTACTTAAAATTATGGGGGTCCAGACTTATAAAGAGGTATACGAAATTAGAGTTGTTTGTCAAAAAACACATAACTCTTAATGTTAAGTCATTAAGTCCTTATTTTTAGAATTTAATTGTGTCAAAATACACAATTAAACTTTTTGTTATTTTCTTTTAATATATTTGTCTTTCTTTAAATTATGCATATTTGTTTTGGTAGTTAATTAGATTTTTGATTTTGTTTTATTGTATTAAAGATTTTCTAATATAATAGAAAAATTATATTATCACAAGATTTGCATATAATGTTGATTGTGTATATCTCTGTCATTTTGAATTTTATTTTATTTTTTTTGCCATTTGGTCCAATGGTACTTCTTGTCTCGTAAATATTTTGTCTTCTTGAGGTCAAGAGTTGAAGTCCCTCTCCCCTTCCCCTTCCCCTTCCCCCTCCCCCAAAAAAAAGTAAAAAACAAAAAACAACTCTATCTTCTTCTTCTCCAAATTATCAACTAACGTTTGAAAAAGTTCAAATCTCTCATTTTTATTACTTTTCGACGAATACGGAAAAACTCATATATATCGTATTTTTTCTTCTACAACGTTCATATATTGTCAGTTGAACTTATGTTTTCTTTCATTTTTTTTTACTTTGTTTGTTTTGCAAACTGTTAGTTGGTTTTGGGTTTTTTTTTCTTCACAGTTTTCTTATTTGTTTTTATTTATTATGTTGAGTAAATACTTTTTTAGTTAACTTTTCACCTTTCAAATGATTATTTGTTAATTTTAATATTTTTGTGTTTTATGAATTTTGTTTTATAGTTTTGTTTTTGGATACTGAACACTACAATAATGGTTGTTGTTTGGATTTTAAATTGTGTTTTCTACTTCTTCTGTATGTTGTTTTTGTGGTAGTTTCTTCGGGACTAATAGATACTATGTATTTGTTCAATTCATAATTACATGGTGTACATAAAATTACTTTATAATTTGAATTCATATGAAGTTATAATTTAAAAGTGTATCAATATAGTGTGACATTAAAGGGTTTAATGAAATTAAATGTCTAATTTTTGTACATTCATAATCATAATATCAAATACATGTGATTTACTCCAACAAAAAATCAACTACAATCACCAATAGAAACAAATGTTCAAGAATTATAAGATTATGGTATATTTACAAAATTCAAAGTGTACCAATATAATGTAGCAGAACAGTGTATGAGTAATAAAAACTTGGGTTTAAGAATTACACAAAATTAAAGTGTATCAATACAATGTAGGAATAATAAAAATTTGGCTTCATAGTATGACTTCGCAGTATTATATGTATGTATGTGTGTGTGTCTATATATATAACACTTTTAACTTTTTATAAGTACTTTAAAAAAAAAAAGGTAGCGTTTGGAACTATCTCACCACCATCATTACTACCACCACCACCGTCACCCCACCACAACTACCCCCGCCATCACCACTATCACTACCATCACACTACCATTACCGCCATCGCCACCATACCACCACCTCTGCTGCAACAACCACTACCATCATTGTCGCCACCTCCTACCACCATCACAACTATCCCCACCACCACCACAACCACTACCACTACCACTACCATCACTACTATCGCCACTGCCATCATACCACCACCATCAATGTCGCCACCCCAACCACCACCCCACCCACTGCCCCACCACCACCCCACCACCATTGTTGCCGCCACCCTATCACCACCAATACCGCTACAACTCCACCACCACCTCTTCCACAACAGTCACCACCAACGCCCCATCACCACCACTGCCACCCCACCACCACCACCGTCGCCACCCCACCACCACTATCACCGCCGCCACCACATCTGCCACAACCACCATCACCACCACTACCATTGTTGCCACCCCCCACGACCACCACACCCATCTGCCCCACACACCACCATCACAACTACCACCACCCCCATCGCCCCACCACTGCTACTGTCACCCTACCACCACCCACCACTAGTGCTGCAATACCACTATCCTCACTACCATCGCTGCCGCCACCTTACCACCACCGCCATTGTCCCACCATCACAACCACCCTCACCACCCCACCACTATCATCACTATTGCCACACGACTGTCACCAGTACAACCGACCGTCATCACCCATCACAACTATTATCGTCTCCCACCACCACCATTGCCGCTCACCACAACAACCACCGCTCAACCCCACTACTATCGGTGCTTAAATTCCTTTCTATCTACTCTATCTTTGTAATTTGATTTTAGATGTTAATACATATATGTTAATTATTGATTTTTTTTAATTATTCTGTGTCTTTAGGCACAGAAAATAACTAGTATATATATTTTAACACATATATACTTTATCAAATTAAATCTAATGTATAATCAAAATTANCCTTTCTATCTACTCTATCTTTGTAATTTGATTTTAGATGTTAATACATATATGTTTATTATTGATTTTTTTTTAATTATTCTATGCCTTTAGGCACGGAAAATAACTAGTATATATATTTTAACACATATATACTTTATCAAATTAAATCTAATGTATAATCAAAATTATTTGATTTTAGTACTTTCTAAGATAAAAAAACGTTGAAGATTTTTTATGGATTTTGATTTTCTTAAATTTTAGATTTTTGTTTTATTAAAACTATTATATACAAGGGAACTTATTTACAATAAAAGGGTATTCAAGCCTTTCTATGTCTTAAGCAGAATTTTTTATAAAATATTTTTTCCTATGTACTTTCTGAAAATTAAGTCCAATTTTGTGTACCAATTTATAAAATACCCTATTTTTTTATACTGTTGATCTGACCCTGGTTCCAATATGCATATGCCAAGTCAATCTGCCCCTTGGCTAAATTTTTAAGATTGTAAATAGAGATAAACCTGATGCTGATCTTTTTTTTCTTCCTGGTCTTAAAACCAGAACATGATTTATTGTGAAAATCATAGCATTTATGGTGTTTTAGAAGAGGAGATCTATGATGATAATGCAGAATCATGGAAATCAGAACACACAAACTCTCATAATGGTTCCACAAAACCATGTGTTGTTCTTCGATTCATGTGTGCCAAATGTTATTTCAAGGTGAGTGAGGATATTTTATCTCACTTGTCGATCGTCATAGCTTTGAGTCGCGGAAATAGAATCTCCGCATGCGAGATTAAGATTATGTCTATCCTCCCTAAACCACACAATGACGGGCATCTTGTGGAACCAACATTCCATATAAGAGTTTTACCTAATTAGCACAGAAAAGTCTGTGCACCCATTCAACAGAGAATACATTCTGTAAAGTACCTGAAACAAGAGACATTCAAGTTGATTATAGGTTCTTGCATTGGTGGATCTTCTGTAGGCAGCTGGTGTTTGCAAAACTAGTCCTTCAAGCCCACCAAATAATTACTTCTATTTTTTATTTTTATTTTTTGACAAAATAACGTTTTTTGCTTAAAATTTTTACTCAAAATAAAACTTTAACAAACAGTACCTGAATTGATTTTACTAAGCAGTTCTCTTCTTTTTGAAATCCATCCCTTACAACAGCAAAAGTTCATGAGGACTATCCTCCTCTATCTTTTGAGCAATTCTCACTGAAAAACTGCAGTGTATTTGCATTAATATCATAAATAAACCTCTTATCCCACTGCTGCAATGCTCCCAATACTGTTAGATTTCCTCCCTGTTTCAATGCCACACACATATACCCGGCTTGACGGTCAATTATATAAGTACTTACTGTCACTAAATCAGCCTCTCGAAAATGGAAAGTAATGCTTGCAAAGTCCTGAAAACCTCGAGTCAAATTATAACAAAGTTCTAGCTTGTATTTCTTGCCATCAATTTTGTCAAGTTTACCAAAATAATAAACTGCAAACGCCCGAATCACCTGACTATAAGCCTTTCCAGCAATGACACTGAAGGGAGTTCCAGAGTCTATAGTGCAAGATGAAAAGAAACCACGAGAAAATTTCAAGCGTCGCGTGCCAACACTGATATCAATCAAGTTTAAATAGTAAAGGGGGAGGCTTAGATTTACCAATGGGGTTGTCTTGAGGCCTTGTGCTCTTACAGGAATGTCCTCACCAAATCTTAGGTAGCTATTGCCATTGTGAAAGCAGTAAGAGAAGCGTCCCTGAACTTCACGACGCAGTTGGCTTATTAAAGAAACCAGAGACTTGCCCATTCCCAGTGTACCTGAAAAATTGTCAAGCTTCTCCTTTGAGCAGCCAAATGTCATATTGGGAAAAGGTTTGTAGACTTGGTTTTTGAGAGGCATATGAAATGTATCCGAGGAGAGAGTAACTTTAAACTTCCGTTTGGGGCTGAAGGCTCCATTACCATAGGTGAAGCTGCAGATGCATGGCCCCGTGATGCAGTTGCAAAATTTCCGGTTCTTCCTGCAGATAGGATGCTTGCAGGGAAGCTTTGCATAGGTCTTAGAAATTTTTGGGTCAAAAAGACTCATTTCCTGGGCAAAAAAGGACTTGGACGTGGCACACTGTGTCCAAATAGAGGCACTGCCAGTGTCCATGAGCAAGTTTACTTCTGTGATTGGAATACCAATTTTGAGACTTACAGTATGCTGCAAGTTGTAGAGTTGCACCGGGAACTGGATGTTGTCAGGGTTGATAGCAATCTGAGGAGATGAAATGGATGCCAAATAGTTTGACCTTGATTCAGAGAAGCTAACCAACCTTTGAATTTTTTGAAGCTGAGTGAGGTTCCCGGGGTACAAAGGTGATTCCGGTGAGTCCCATGGGATGAGCTTGAGGCTAAATCCAAAGGGTTCTGAACCTGTACACTGGAGTTGGGTCGAAATTGCAATAAAGTAGAAGAGAATGCTAACTGGAAATGCTTGGACTTTGACCATTTTTTTGGGTGAAGGACAAGCGTGGTAAAGGATTGTTGCATATATGTTAAAAGCCTCTTTGCCAAAATGTAAAACAAGTAAACAAAGAGATAAACCTGAATGTGAGACAATTTAATGCACAGATTTAGCGCAGGGTGAATAGATAGTATAGAGACTTTCACACAATCAGTTGGTGGAAAAGACTTTGTAAGTTATTAGGCACAATCTAGTGCACGAGATTCGTGTCCCTATAAAGTTACTAAAAGTTAAATACAAGAAGTAGGTGCGAAGCTTTTAAAAATCCAAACAAGGTTCACCTTTTAGCCTCTTGTTACATAAATGTTTGGATCCGGTGGTAGTTTGCTCTCTTACTATAGTAGGTATTCGTGGATTTGGGTTGCCTAAGTAGATAAAAGCAAGGTCGTCAAAACATGTATCGGAAGATATATCATTTTTAAAAAATAGTGTATCGGGTATTGTAACGTATCGCGTATCGTAAAATATGTGTATTTTTATAAAATATATTAAAAAATACTTATACCTATGACAAAATGTCATAATAATATTTCATTACACTATNATGTGTATTTTTATAAAATATATTAAAAAATACTTATACCTATGACAAAATGTCATAATAATATTTCATTACACTATAAATTTCTCACATAAAACAATTTAAAAAGACTACAAGGACTAAAACAAAAAAATTAACAATCTAAGTATTAAAGTTTCTAATATAATTCATCAATATCAAAATTTAGAGAGTTCTAGTTTTAACATCTAAAGTAGCAAAAGGAAGACATTTTTAACAATTAAACTATTTGCTACTATGATAGAACGAATAAAAAAAAGACTCTTATTTCTTAAAAACTGTAGATGATAAAACGACATCGTTTTATTACCTAATATTTGAAAAAATTACTTCTAAGCGAAAAGACATTGTTTTCTACTTAAAATTCAAATGAAATTTTTTTGATTTGTTTCGTCTCGTATCGGATGACTCGTACGTCTGGTATATTGAATGTATCGTATTGTATACTTAGGTGATAAATATTATTTTCTTCATGTATCGTATCGTGCAAGGGCGGAGTTAGAATTTTTGTTTATCCCCGGACTAAACTAAGCATTCATACGACTAATAAAATACAAATGTAAACTCATAAATATAGCTTGACCCAAAAATTGTTTTTTAATTGTGGCTCAAAAATTTTGTCTTTAATGTTGGCCCAAAAATTTTATTTTTTTAATGTTAGGTCAAAATTTTTTGTAATAGGTTTGGGTAAATAATATTGGGCTCAATTTTTTTTGTTTTAAATGAGTTAAATTTTTAAAATTTTTTGGATAAATAATGTGAGTCTAATATAAATGAGGGGCACACATAAATATATTATATAAATATATAATACATATATCCTACTAATAAATTTTTATTNTTTTAATGTTGGCCCAAAAATTTTATTTTTTTAATGTTAGGTCAAATTTTTTTGTAATAGGTTTGGGTAAATAATATTGGGCTCAATTTTTTTTGTTTTAAATGAGTTAAATTTTTAAAATTTTTTGGATAAATAATGTGAGTCTAATATAAATGAGGGGCACACATAAATATATTATATAAATATATAATACATATATCCTACTAATAAATTTTTATTTTTTTTTTTACTCTAGGCATCAGTCCACCGTAGTCCATTAATGGCTACATCCTTAGTATCGCGTATTGTACGACCCTAACAACTATAAATAGAAATAATGAAACTAACGACAAACTTACGGTTTTGTCTTCCTACTACTGTAGAAGAATGTGCACAAACTTCCCGTTGCTTGTATAAAGTATTTTCGTGAATCAACTTCATAACGCGTGTAACACAATAAAGCAACTACATCACTATGCCAATGCCCACCCTCTAATCATTATTGTTGGATTTTATAACAAAACGATGCTAAAATATGATACTGCATCGGAACTACGTTGATAAGCACACATAGGCAGTCATATAAGTTGCACCATGCCACGTCTGATTGACTATTTTGTGTTATATGCTCTTGCCTGGTCTGCTCTGCTGTGCAGTCTAAGGTTCAGGTTTCATATCAAATAGAGACTCAATCAGGATTAGTGTTTGATCAACGTTAGAACATTTTGCATACGAAGCTAGAGGTCTGTGCCCACTCTCTCGAGGCCTCGGTTAGAAACATTACTTACAAGACCTTAGCATCTACTCTTCTTCTTCCCAATATGAAGCACAAGATGAAGTGCAGCAAGTACCGAAAACAATTCATAACAATAGATCTTTATTATATATAACCAATCAAACTTCTTAAAGTGTTTAATTTGATAATTACGTAACCTATCGCATGATCTTACAAGGTATTGAAATATTAAGAACTCCGACATAATTGTCACGACCATTTACACTGTTACAAACACTTCCAAAGAATACAGGGTCAAAAGACTAAGTGAAGATGTAAACCTCGTCGTACCCTTTCCTGCAATAGAGGAAGATACAAAAATCAAGTTAGCAAATAGATATACTCATGGGGATGGAGTCTGAGGACGTTCCACACTTACCCAGCCTTCCCACAATAAGTAGGACTGTAATTGTAAATGAGGTTGTCAAGCACTGTTCGAACAGGTGGTCTGTTTAATGACTTCCTAGCCTCACTGCAACCCACGACAATATTCAGGTAAGTAAAGAATAATAGGGGATTGGACACATAAGTTCAATACAGAATGTGAAACAGTGGATTGGACAGTGCAGCCAATTCTATTTTTTGTTTATTTATGCCACTAAAATTAATCTACTTTTACGAAAGAATACAGAAGGGGGAAAGGGGGGGGGGAGGGGTTGGTGGGGCAGAAAAACTATATTGGCAAGATAAGGCCTAGCAGCAAGATGTGCCAAAGTTGGGATCCCAGTAGAACCCAAGATTTTCAAGAATAGCATACAATTCAATACGGTATTCAGAAATCATGGAGTCCAAGAAGAATTAATTGATTGGAAGTGCATGGCGGCATGCAAAAAGAAGAGAGACACAAGGTCCAGATAAGTCCTCTGCTCTTAGGTCCCTTAGGCTTAAGTTTTAGTCTGGAATGAATCGCAGGGGTAGAGAACAAATAAAAGGAAGAAAGCCAAATAAATACAAAATTCCAACTATGTCCACCCCTCTCTGTCATCCTACCTTACAAAAAAATTTGCAACATGTTGAGTCACTTGAACAGCATCCTCTGAGTGTGGAATCATTGATAAGCCCCATTCAAATGCATTTTTCTGCAGTGTACAAGGTCAGTCTTTCATATTTGGAGAAGCAGCAGTTGCAATATCCCTGCGTTTAATAGAACTCATAGCAAAATGTAGGCACAATGATTACATTAATAATTACAGGTCATTGACAGAATCAGCATTAGCCATCAGTATCTAAACAACAGAAATTAACTAAGTGGCATGGACATCCACATAAAGCCCAAATTGCCTGCAATGCGCACTGGTCACAATTTCAAGAAAACTCAGATGTGAGCTCTGGCTCCTAAATAAATTTAAAAACTTCCCACAAACAGAGACAGGTAACAAGAAAGGGATGGTTATATGCAATAAAAAGCATATCCTTGTCCAAGATTATTGTGTGATATTCCTGTTTACTCATTACTTTCTTTAACTGGGGTGCAATTAGCACCTCTATGGTGAAACATGAACCACAAATAAAAGATCCAACTAAGGATAATGAAAATACTGAGAGAAGTGAGAAAGCACTGCCAGTGGCAGCGTCTACCAAAAGGGCAAAACTTGTATATGGCAAATTTGAACCCTGTTTTATATAAAACAGATATGAAGATTGAGATCTTCTTACTCGAGGGCATTTTAACTTTATAGTATCCCAACAAACACCAATATGACAGAGCAAAATATGTATCCCATGCATGCATCAACATGAGAGGATATTTCTTTCAGGCCAAATACTACCAAGGGTAACTTGTCTCGATGTCTTCATGAAATACAGAAAATGTAATATAATCATAACACAAATGCATAAACTCTCTCTCTCTCTCTCTCACACACACACACGCGCGCGCGCGCGCTCTGAGAGAGATAGATCCGTGTTCATTCTTCTTGCAACTTGAGGTCAGATTCCATCAACANACACACGCGCGCGCGCGCGCTGAGAGAGAGATAGATCCGTGTTCATTCTTCTTGCAACTTGAGGTCAGATTCCATCAACAGTTACAATAATATAATTTCAATACCAGAAAGAAGGAAAGCCTAGTAATATAGCCATGACAAGAATCGCCACATCTTAATGCTATTCCTGCCACTCAACTCTCAACTTCCATAACATCTGTGTTCTTGAAAATTTACTAGGCTGTAGCATCAAAGGGACATAAAGAAAATATTGCTAGTAACAATTTTCTTTTAGTCATACCAATTTTGTTGGATGTCCTAGACAGCAGATAATGCTGGCTGACATACCATTGAGTCCTATAACAAAAAATCATGAATCTTCATTAACAGATAAAAATATGATTAGCAGTAGATACTGATAGTACCTCTGGATGCCACTGGAAAGCAGTTACAGGATAGCTGTGGGCTTGAACTGAGGAGACATAGACCTGATATAAATGAATCTCAAAAAAGAAAACATTAGAATCTTCTCATGCAAAGAAAATCAGCGAAGAGATTGAATTTAGATACAATGCCAACGTATGATTAAATAACACAATGGAGCTGTTACACTTCATACCTCATTGTTTTCATCGGCACTAGTTGTTAAGACCTCAAAGAAACTGCATAGATCCACGTTCTCTTGAAACTTCTCTGGTGATATACCATACTATTGCACAGGGGCATTCAACAGTCAATCAGCTTTTTCTTTGGATGTGTAAGAAAGCTTGTTAAAAGTAGTACACAATTAAAAACCAGAGCTATGGTTCCTAAACAAAGAAACAATGAGAGCAAAAAAAATATAAAACAAACAGGGCATGACTGTAGCATAGTACTACATCAAAATTTATTCATTCAGAAAACTATAAAGTGAATCCATTAGGGAATTAATTAAAGATATGATTATAAGCAAATTATAGTCACTATCAACTGAGTTTGATCACTAGAAACATCCCATATAGTTCAACATCTCCCGTGAGATTAGAAAATTCCCGAGACGTAGACAATTGGTGAAACAATAAAATAAAAGGTCGTACTATTCACTAAATCATTGTGTGGAAAAGACCCAGCACATGTGTAATGTACAATACACATATACAAGGACTTTCGAAAATAATTATACTTAACAACCCTTCCAAACTTGAGGCACAGCATAAGGCAGTCAATGTGTTGAAAAGAACAGCCCTGATGCGTAAAATTGCTAGAAGCACCCTTCAAAACAAGGAAAAAAATCAACTCACTAAAACTGGGACCCTGGAGGAGTTAAGATCCACCTAAATCCAACAATGACTAGGCCAGGTTATTTGGTCACAAATACTACCGCTGCCACTAAGGATGACCGGATGCCAATGGTCGAATGGCCCAGCCAGTCCAATTTAATACATTGAACATTCAAACAAAATTACATCCAATATAGTAAGATAAGTCCAAAAGAGCACTGGACCAAACTAGTAGATAGAAAGATGATCCCTTCTAATAAAAAAGTAATATACAAATATAAGATAGCTAAATTTGCAAGTTATAGAAGCTGATGGTAAACCTTGCCCCCATAGAGTGGATGACAAGGTTTAGAACTTATCATTCAAACACAAAATGATTTTAAGCAAAGAAGAAACAATAAATTACTCATCAAAAACGTAAACAATAAACATTTCCATACATTTAACCATAAAAGCCACCAATTATTTGGCACTCACATGATGATTTTGCATCACAAGACAATCTATGCTCAACTTTTTAAGCAAGTCTGGAGGAAATCTGCAGAACACAAACAATCACTTTGGATACATAACTCCATCATGGCAGCCATTAAAGCCAAGTAGAGTGAAGGCAAACAATCAGAAAAGTTTTGGATGGATCTCTGCTTAATTTGAAACAACAATACAAATTACATGAAATTACTTGTGTCCCCACTGTCAGCAATTCAATAACTTTTGTATGAGTTCACGAAAAACAAAAATAATAATTTATCATTTTGCAAACATAAGTATCATGTATCAGTCTTAGGGCCTTTTCTAGTTACTTGAGGACCAGACGATCAAGATTTAAATATTGGCATGAACAACTGCATACACTAGAAATTATAGTAAATAAAGCTAAAAAGAAGGTCAGAAGACACATATCTGAAAATGTGGGTTACTGGAGTAGATGTTAAGCTGCACCATTGGTCACTACCTGATGATTAATGACTGTTGTGTGTGTGTGTGCACAATCACAGAGGAAAGCAAACAATGAAAATGGGAGTCAGGAGCTCAGCAAGAAAACCAANTGATGATTAATGACTGTTGCGTGTGTGTGTGCACAATCACAGAGGAAAGCAAACAATGAAAATGGGAGTCAGGAGCTCAGCAAGAAAACCAAGAAGGGCCGCCATGGTCCGATGGGAAGACCGGGAAAATAAGAAAAAAAAAAAAGGTTGTTTCTTATTTATTGTCAACCAGTTTGTGGCTGGAAGTTCCAATTTTGGGCTAGGATATCTAAGCTCAAAAGTCAGTAATTTTCATTGGAAGGCTTGGGACACATAATTCCAGCCCAGGTGCTGTTCTATAATTTAAACAAGTTCAAGAGGATTTTCAGAAATCTTGGAGGATTCCAAAAAATTCTCATATCTTCATGTTTGGGGATTCATAGTGCTAATGAACTTGAAGGAACAAAGTCAAGGACACCTGATTTGAGGTACATAATCAAAAAGTGTCCAATCTGCTCCCTTCACATGTGCAGCATGGGTATACAGCCTTGAGTTTGGTACACAACAGTCCCAGTCCTCACTTAAAGTATTGTATGCATCACATATGTTGAAATTCATCCTCAATCAAAAAGTCCATCAATACAGAATGGTTTCCCATTCCCTGTACCCTTGATTACACTTACCAAGTGCATCAATGTCAACCTCATTCCAATCAAAACAATGGATTGACATGTTTCTATTCCCATCCTCATCCCTTCCAATATCATTACGATATCTCACATTCATCCTCGCTTTAATCAGAGAGTTATTTGACGAAGAAAAATCCATCGATGGATGGAAGCACAGAGACAGTTGAGGGCTAAGCTGGGTAACATTCATGGATTTAACATTTGAGGGCCCTGAACGTTTCCTTATTTTGAAGAATAGAGTGGCACAACATGCATGCAATAACCTTGATCTCATCCATCCATGGAACCAACTAATGCCATTCTTTTTAGGTAGTTATTCCTGTTCAGAGCTTAAATTTAACCTTAGACTTAACATGCTACTATTATTTGATGTAAAAAATTCATAACCTTTATTTCTTTCTTTTTCTGCCTTAAGTTAGAGCAACCCTTTTACACAATGACTGATTGTACAATCTATTGTCCTGGTATCAAAAGCTTAACATTCTGGTCCATATGATTTAGAAAGAGTGAAAGACAAAACATTGATTACCATTTTCTTATATTTATAGAATTTTAACGTGCCAATGTCCAATTTAATCACACCTGAGGCAGCAATATTTATGTTTGAAATGATTTAATGCAGGAGACTTAAAAAAATATCAAATTTCATCACTTAAAAATCAACTGTTACAGTAATTACGAGAAACCATATACCTTTGAAACGCTGTTCCTTCTATATTTATGTTGTTCATGAATTGGAGAGTAGACGCTTGATCTGCTGCACTAAATTCTTCCAGAATGTTTTTGTCCTATTATCATTAATCGTAATTTCTTAAAATCAAAACAAAGAATAATTAGAATTAACTTTAAAAAAGAAAGAATTTGAGAGACGTTATTCATAGTTATAAATGTCCCCAAAAGAGCAAAAATACACTCGATAGTTGGAACACCAAAACGGATTGATTTTAGTCACATCAACACATAAAGAAGCCATACAATACTAATAGTCATTACCCATCTAATTGAAAGTTTACCATACTTAAACTATGGTGATCTTCTACAATTTAGAGAGCTAAAACAAGACATTGCATATATACAGCTTACCTTGCTGATGATCATCGTTAGAAGTTCAAAACCTAAGCAAATGGCGAGTACAGGGAAATGGTCTCCTGCATCATTCTTCTTCAGAGCTTTCTGTACAGAATGGGTTAAGTTCATAAATAACAGTTCATCATCAGAGGGGAGGTCATTGTCAACTATAAACCAGTGTATAACCATCACTGATATACAGATTGAAAACTCACTTACAACTAACATGCATCTCCAGCCCTTGCTCTTTTTTAAACCCAAATTTAAATTTAGGTAAAAAAATCCTAAAAACCTTTGCCAATGCAAAATACTCATTCTCATACCATATCATGGAAGACTCAAATTTTTACACAAATCAATGAAGACTCAAACTTTTACTAAAATCACCAAGTTTTTAAAAATCTAATAGTCATATTCTATCCTCCTTTAAATTTAGATTTGTCCATTGGAGTGCTTTGTATCAATTAAACTTTTTATTTAAATGTTGACTAAAATTTGAGGTTGAAGATGCTAACTTTTACTGAATTTGTTTCAGCCGCAAATATGCACAAATTTACAACCTCAATATATGTTATCCATTGCTAATTTTTGTCCAAAAATAAAAAATAAAAAAATTTTCCAGTTACCTTGAAAATTGCCTCAACAACCTGAAAGTAGAGCCCACTTTTAGCCCACCCGCCAGTGAACAGGACACCATTCACAAGATTGAGCTTCTGTAATACAACTATAATCTGTTACCAATTGACATGATCAAGGATGCAAAATATATTCTCTTATCAACCCAAACTTTACTTGGAAACATAATTTTTCTAAATAAATTGTCGATTACTTTGTAAAGAATCTCTGGAGGCTCGTTGTAGATAAGAGGAATCACCCTAGCACCGGCCGATTCGACGAACTTCACATAGGATGCCGCGATATACGACGCGTTGGTCGCATTGTTGAGTCGACCGGAGGCGCCATCGCCAGGATGGCTCACAATTCCGATGACCGGACGGTAATTGAGCTTCGGGTCAGGTGCGGGACAACTCGGAGCGGACACAGTGGGTAAGAGAATTGTCGATTGAGCCTTTGCGGAAGTGAGTTCCCTAGAGAGAGCTATTAAGAAAGGGATCCAGAGGTAATTCAACATATCAGAAGAGGAGGAGAGAGAAGATGGGGTGGAGGGTGGGGGAGAGGGAGTGGACGGAGAGTCAGTGAGATTGGTGGTGATTTTAGAGGAGGGGAGAGAAGGTGGTCGTGGTGGTGGTGACATCGGTGGGGATTGACGTGAATTTGGAGTTGGGGAGGGGGAGGAGAGAGATTGGGGTTGGGGTGGTCATCAGAGGGAGGTGGATATGGTGTTTTGACATGGGAGTGGTGAGAGATAGAGAGAGAGAGAGAGAGGGGGGGGTTTGAAATGAGGGTGGCCGACGCCGGCTGTGTGCGAGTCCGTACAGTCTGGAGAATTCGGATTGACGACGAAGTTTGAAGAAGGGACGAGTTTGATTTGAAGTCTGACGTAAGTATTTGTTATTGATTGTTCAACCATGAGAACTAATGGCTGACTTTTCGTCTGTGGGAACAACTGATATGAATGAAGCCCGCTTAAGTTAATTAGGTGGATGTACGCGTCCGTGCACGCCAATTATTTTGACTGTTAGTAAATTAAGTACGCCACAATTGTCGACCAAGAAGATTATACACTTAGGGAGCCAGAGTAGAATAGAAAATTCTTGAATCGAAACGGGACGAGAATATTTATTTATTTAATTAATTAATCAATTTATATTTATCCTCAACACCTACCATAATACCCAGTAATAGGCTCCATTTTTTTATTATTCAAGTTGTATTTGTCGTGCAGTACGTATCAAATGATTTTGGGTAATATTATTGAAACTTAATTTACTGTGATTTTTGGATTTATTATAGATTCTATCAAACATTAGAATTTAGTGTTGATCTAATAATTCCTATGAAGTCACATCATTATGTCAAAAAATTAGGTCAAAGTTTGAAGTCCAAATAGTATTACTCAATAATTTTTATTAACAATAATGCTATATTGATCAAATTTTAAGATTAAATTTAGATCTTAAATGACATGATAATATATTATTTTAAATTTTTATTGGGGCCCAAATAATATGACACTAAATAAAGAAGTCCAAGATAACTGTCATGTTATTAATTTTATTGAAAATATCCAGACTCATCCTTTTCTATCTAACATTTATTAATTTTTAGTGTCATTCCGAATTTTTTTTTCTTGTAGCATGACTTGAATTTTCTATCAACTTGAACATACATAATTTATATTCAAAAGTATATGAGTAATTAATTCTTCTTAGAAAAATCTCAAAAAACTTATATTTATCAACAATGGCTAATGCATGTCAACCCAGTGAGTGATCCAATCATAAAAGTTATCTCAAGAACTAAAATTGACTATTATGTTATAGAAAAATTTTATCATTTGAGAGAAAGAGATACAATTGATAGATTGTCCTTAGGTATCAAATATTTTCCTAATAAAATATATAAAATATTTAGGAGAAAGTGTCTCAAAAAACAAAGAACCCTCAATAAGAAATCTCTTTCAAAGGCTATCTCAAGTTACGTACAACACCTACAGAGAGAGGGTGTGCAATATTTGGTCATTGTAGGACTGCATAGATATCCAATGTTTGAAGAGTTTCATCAGCATTTCTGGCGGTAATCTTACTTTTGCTTAATGTATATACCTTTATTTGAAAATGTATCATTGATTTACACCTCAACAAAATATTTGTGTATGTGTAGGTGAGAGAGAGAGAGAGAGAGAGATCAGAGAAAGAGAGCTGAATTGGCTTGAGGTGTAAGATATGTAGTCCAAAACTTGTGATGATCAATCATACCCTAAAAATATTATTACATATGCATTCTTACTAAACTTTTAATGATCAAGACTTTTATTACTAACAATAGATGAATACTAATCAAAATGTAATGCAAGCCTTCGGCTCGGGCCTGTCCAAATTGCAAGTCTAAAAGGTCCGAGAAGTTAGAATATTTGAGCATTTGATAAGACCCAAAAACTTGGCCAACAAACTTCTCACCTGTTTTATTATGAGTTGGAGTTATGAAACTCCAAGAATTGTACAATAGTCATACTTCCTCACTTGGCGATAACTCCCAATAATTACCATTGTATTTTGGGATTAAATAGTCAATGTATGTGTAACTGTCTAATAAAACAATTAAAAAATAAATAAATTAGACCATTTTTCTTTATATGGATATGGTTATATATTACATAATGATTATTGAATTTTATGGGTTTCACTTGTTCTCTTGTTAGTGGACGGTTACACAAAGTGTCTGTTGATGTGGGATAACTGTTATGCTCCAGAATTTTCTCGTATTTTGCATTGTATGAACTGAATTGCATAAGGTTCAAAAAAAAAATGAATTGTATTGCATTTAGAAACTGTAACGTTTAACTTCAGTATGTAATTAATAGATGAATGCCTACTATTTCTTTAACCAATAGGTTACTAAAAGATGTTATTATTGTCTTTTTATCTTTTTAAGGATAGTATTATTAATTAATTTTTTTTGACAATTATTGACATTCGAAAGTAGTATATATAATATTAGATCTATTCAAATATTTGGATTTTGTGAATTTGGATATGAACTATGTACCTACAAACATATACAAACATATGATGCAATTTGGTGATTATTTAATAAAATTGAGTAAAAATTTATGTGTTAAATGTTAAAATAATCTACAATCAACTTATTCAGATTAGAATTGATATCTATTGTAATGGATCCATATATGCACTGTGAAAAATAAAATTTGTTAGACAATTAAATCGGATTCAGATCACATTGTTCAAATCGTATTTGGATTGAATTTATATTGTTTGGAAATAATATAACCATCTCACCTCATTTACTCATCTTACTTCAAACTATTAAGTTCACTCATCTATATCTACCAGACTAGTTACTAAACTCACCCCATCTATATTTACTAATTAAAAATTAAATTCATTCAATTTTATTTCAACCTACTATATAGGCAATGATCATGAATTTATTTTGGTATATTATTTTGGTGCAAAAAAATTTCAGAAGTAGAATAAAAATTAATTAAAAAGATATTAATTATTTTTAAAATATTAATCGAAATATATCAAAATATCTTAAAACACTTCAAAATATTTCAAAGATATTGGTAAAAATTTATCAAAATATCTTAAAACACCTCGAAATAATATAGATAATCCCAGAACATTGAAATTTCGCTTAAATTATTATTTTTGTTTTGGTTTCTTTAACATATATTTAATAGTTTAATTAAATAGGTATAAATGAGGTAAACTTAGTAACTAATGAGGTAAGTATAGATAGGGGTGTCCATGGGTGGGGTTATCCACGGGGGTCCCATTACCCAACCTAAAAAAATAAGTTCGAAACCTGATAGTTAGTCGGCTTAAACTCGAATTCAATATTCTTAAAAAGAGNTTTTGGGGACAACTGATATGAATGAAGCCCGCTTAAGTTAATTAGGTGGATGTTCGCGTCCGTGCACGCCAATTATTTTGACTGTTAATAAATTAAGTACGCCACAATCGTCGACCAAGAAGATTATACACTTAGGGAGCTAGAGTCAAATAGAAAATTCTTGAATCGAAACGGGACGAGAATATTTATTTATTTAATTAATTAATCAATTTATATTTATCCTCAACACCTACCATAATACCCAGTAATAGGCTCCATTTTTTTATTATTCAAGTTGTATTTGTCTTCCAGTACGTATCAAATAATTTTGAGTAATATTATTGAGATTTAATTTATTGTGATTTTTGGATTTATTAAAGATTCTATCAAACATTAGAATTTAGTGTTAATCCAATAATTCTTATGAAGTCACATCATTATGTCAACAAATTAGGTCAAATTTTTAAGTCCAAATAGTATTACTCAATAATTTTTATTAACAATAATTTTATATTGACCAAATTTTAAGATTAAATTTAGATCTTAAATGACATGATAATATATTATTTTAAGTTTTTATTGGGGCTCAAATAATATGACACCAAATAAAGAAGCCCAAATAACTGTCATGTTATTAATTTTATTGAAAATATCCAGACTCATCCTTTTCTATCTAACATTTATTAATTTTTAGTGTCATTCCGAATTTTTTTTTTCTTGTAGCATGACTTGAATTTTCTATCAACTTGAACATACATAATTTATATTCAAAAGTATATGAGTAATTAATTCTTCTTAGAAAAATCTCAAAAAACTTATATTTATCAACAATGGCTAATGCATGTCAACCCATTGAGTGATCCAATCATAAAAGTTATCTCAAGAACTAAAATTGACTATTATGTTATAGAAAAATTTTATCATTTGAGAGAAAGAGATACAATTGATAGATTGTCCTTAGGTATCAAATATTTTCCTAATAAAATATATAAAATATTTAGGAGAAAGTGTCTCAAAAAACAAAGAACCCTCAATAAGAAATCTCTTTCAAAGGCTATCTCAAGTTAAGTATTCACTTGTTCACTTATTTTTTTTTTATTAAATAATAATACCACGTGACAGTAATGACGTAATATAACCATTACATAAAATTTTTTTCCCACAAAACTTGAAATAATAATATTAATTAGAGTGAATTTACTGACTTAATCCATCACAATTATTGAATTGGTCGTAAGTCTCAATAAATATTAAAACTCACTGTCAATTTAATGATTATGAATGACAAAATTCACAAATTAGATCAATAAATTAGAGAAAAATTTAGAGGTTAGTCCCCCTTTGTAGACTTATTGTTGATAAGTTCTTCAAGAAAACTTGTTTAATATTAAATCTATTTTGATCTCTGTTATCCAAAATATCCTTAGTAGTTATGTTTAATTAAAACAAATTTAAAAACTAATAACTTTTAAATTTTAGGAGTTTGACTAACATTAAAATTCTTTTTCTTATATCTATATATAGAATATGACTATTTATTTTTCCCTCTTATATATATATATATACTAATAATTATCCGTGCTTAAAAACACTATATAACAAATAAAAAATCGCAAATAAATGTCCATCCTTCCCAACCTAATCTTTGTTTCTTCCTTGAACTTAGATGACTCAGCTGTTAATTATTCCTCAAATCAATGACACCCAGATTTCTTACTTAGTACATAATTAAATCAAAAAACATATAATAAACCAACTGCAATAATNTTCCAGTACGTATCAAATAATTTTGAGTAATATTATTGAGATTTAATTTATTGTGATTTTTGGATTTATTAAAGATTCTATCAAACATTAGAATTTAGTGTTAATCCAATAATTCTTATGAAGTCACATCATTATGTCAACAAATTAGGTCAAATTTTTAAGTCCAAATAGTATTACTCAATAATTTTTATTAACAATAATTTTATATTGACCAAATTTTAAGATTAAATTTAGATCTTAAATGACATGATAATATATTATTTTAAGTTTTTATTGGGGCTCAAATAATATGACACCAAATAAAGAAGCCCAAATAACTGTCATGTTATTAATTTTATTG